ATATTTATACATACTTATACATTCATACATAGGTATTTATACATACGCATACATTTATACATATATATATATATATTTATACATTTGTATATATATATATATGTACATATACAATATATATATATATATATATATATATATATATATATATATATACTCTCTCTCTCTCTTATATATCTTATATATATATATATATATATATATATATGTATATATATATATATATATAATTTATTACTCTATAAAAACTAAAATAGTTATTATTCTTATATCCATTCATTGTTTAATTGGTATATATACCTATATGTCATATAGTGTATTTTGAAAATGAAGAAAGAAGACATATCAATACGTAAAGTGTGTATACTAAAAGATGAAATTGGAAACATATTTAAATACAGAGTGCGTGACAGTCAAACTGATTTTAAAAGTGCAGTCAGACTGTCACAATCGCTTCATTGTCCACACAGTCCGTTTCGGGCTAAATATTCGACAAAAATGCAAATGGACGAAATTTGTTTATATAACTCGGAATACGTACCGTTGGATCATTATTTTCTAGTGATTAGCACTGATAAATTTTTAGAGGTAGACAGAATAGAAGATACTTGTGTATATATTACATATAATGCTAGATGTGAACAAAGTTTGTCGCTCGTACCTGCCCAATATCCATATCTGAAACAATGGGTAGCGAACTGTACTTCCGGTTCAATTCGTTCTCATGCAGATCAATCTGTGATATATGTCGAAACGATGCTAAGCAGAGAGAGACACCCACAAGCAACACTACTATTGTGGGCTTAAGTTCGCCATTCGGCACGAGATATTTTGTTTTCATTTTCATATATCAGGAAAGCTCTGTGAGTGCACTCCATAGCAGAACTAGCGATTGTTTAGTAACTCAGAGCATGTGGGCTTCCAGGCCAATTGATCTCTGTGCTGGGCATCCACCGGTAAAGATGGATGTAATTATTAGTACAATGTGCAACAGATTGTACTTATGCTACCTATGATACAATCGCACTGTGCTATTGTTTCTACCAGAACTGAGCGAACAGTTGTCCTCAGACATCAGCTGTGAAGTGTGAGCCGAGTAGCCGACCATCATTTTTATTTTTTAACCAGCTTTTGTGTTTTAAAAAATTGCCACCCCGGACCCAGGGGTAATAAACCAATAAACTATGTTTTGAATGACTGATAGTTTATTATAATTATATGTATAATAAAGTAGAGAAAATAAGAAGTAAACAAAAACATGCTCTGTCTCTATGGAGATCGTTTCCAGGCGAAAACAATTAATGTTTGTAGTTAGGAGTTTGTAGTTACGAGTCAATTACAGAAGGAGTTCGGTACGAGTCCCAGTTTAACTCTGAACAGGAAGTCATACATTTTTTTTATATCATTGAAAACCTTTTCTTTTTCAAAAGTTTAATTAATAGAGTCGAGTTTACAGTTTACACTAGCAGGTTTACCTGGACCAAAAACCCCAGTTTAGGGTTTCGGACTTTCGGTTCATTGCTGCGTATATTTACAATTGTTTTTGGTCATAAAACAAAGAGACAAAAACAACCAAAAGATAAAAAGGCAAAAAAGTAGATACTTTAGATAAAAACAGGCATTTTAGGATGAGGATTGCCGAATGCCGACGCCCCGAAGTTCCGAACGGAACTTCTGAGGCCGAAGGACCGACTCACGACGGCCGCCGCCGAAGCCGTCAAGTCGGCGTCGAGCCGGCGACAACAAATCATTAAAATCAACAATATATAATATTCTATTTTTTTATAAAAACATTACTGAATATTTCAGCATACATACAATATCTTGTTTAGAAACAAAATGGAATACTTTTTAATATTTGTACTTTAAAAAAAACAATTAAAAAAAGGCGTGTCCATGACTCTAAATATGTACTGTCTCGCACTCTCGTTATCATGTTGTGTGCTCGACTGCCCTACTCTACTACTTTAGAGAGGCCCTCTCACTCTTACAACTGACAACTGACAACTTCTTGACAACAAGACTATGTATCTATTGTATTTACTCTATTCAGAGACTGTGAGACAGTAAGAGTCTTCGATGTCGAATTGTAGATGCGAAATATTAGAATCACAAGTTGACATTTGACAGGCTGACAGCTGTGTCTGAGTGTCAGATGCTGAGATGTCATATGTGGAGATGTCAGATCAAATGTGAGCCCATGACACATTGACAACTGAACAAGCCCGCAATTCGAATTATGAGTTGATCAGTTGACAGCTGTCATCTGACAAGTGTCAGCAGAAACTGTGACAAGCTGACAATGGTGGAATGTAGAATTGCCCAATAGTCAATGACAATGATCCTTTCAATTTATAAACGATTTATATTGGTTATATCATTACACGATAGGCAAAACCGAGAATAATCAACCGGACTGTTGATATTTGTATGAGCATATAACCGACAACGATACCGATGCATACACACTCAAAAAAAAAAACGGGATTGACATAAAGACATTGTGAGTTTGTGAGTTGTGACACTGACATTTTTTCAGGGGTGTATGTCGCTGTCGTTTACCAACCCAGGGCCCGGCCAGGGGTCAGCTGGAACAATGGTCGAGTGACAGAGTCTCAAGAGTCAAGTAACTGAAGAGTGATGACTCACTCCGTACTCTCTCTCTGGGCTCCAGGAGTCCAGGAGTCCAGGAGCCAAAAAAGAAAAGTAGCAAATATTTGTTTTGCTTTTGGTATTTTAAAAAAAACAAAAAAAACAAAAATACAAACCAAATAGATATCCAGAGTCTTTGAAACCTGAACTTCCTGAAGTCTGAATTTACTAAATATTTCAAGTCAAGTTATACTGAGGGTCGTCACCGGCACATAAGATATGGTTCAGACATTTGTTTAGTAAATACACATGGTGTAAAACAATATCACGCATACTTTTAGAACGCTCGTCGACGTTGTCGTTCCTCGCATCGTTAGGGCTTTCCTTTTGTACTCCAGTTTTTTTTTGGTGTTATGCAGTATTTGCCCAATAGGCTCTCGTGCACATGATCAGATTGCGGATTGATTGTAATGTGTATAACATATATCTGACATATGCTGGTAGTAATTCCCTTTGCTATACTCTCGACTTAAGTACGCATGTTTCGTATGTCATAATTATAGCAGGTTATGTTGACGAACTGCATTCCGGTAAAACATATGTCACTCGGTTTGATTGTCGGGATTGCGTTAGAAGGTGAAGCTAGGTGGGGTGTCGTGGTACATGAGGCTTGGTATTAAAGTTTCATTTAAAAAAAATCTTCTCGTGTCTCCTGTTGAGTTGTTAAATTGTTGCGTGCACACAAAGTGTGGCTGGGTGTAAAGTTTGTGGGAGAGTTGGAGAGTCGAGAGTCGAGTGTTTTTAGGGTTTGGATGCCGTATGCAGTATGCAGTGTTGGACAGATTATGTATAATTTTAATATGTTATTGTGGAGTGTGCCAGTGTGGTCTGTCCCACAGGGTACAGGCCCACAGGCCACAACAACCTGTCGTAGGCCACACCCTGTGAGGCCGTGGGGTTGTGCTTTGTTAGTGGTGACCTGTGGCCTGTGGCTCGAGGGACCTTGTATTTTGATATTTAGTAATATTAATCGTTAAAGTTTATGTTTTAAATATCAATAGAGAAACAAACAATATATATTACTATTATTGTCTGTCACTACACTCAAGAAGTCACTAATAAATACTAAATAAAGTGAATTCTGAACTCTAGAGAGTCTCGACTGCTATATGTAATCAAGACTTTCATATTTGTCAAATGTATTCATCATGTCCGAGTAGTGTACTATAACAAAAGACAAAAGCAACAAACAAAAGTTGTAAATACATATTTACTGTGTAATTAGTATTTACATACATCCTACAATACAAACAAATATTTTTTTAAAAATATATACAAAGACGAAAGATCTTAATTAGATCTCCCTCTCTTATATCATAATATTTGGTTTTTAAAAATAAACACCAAAATTGATAAAAGGGCTAAACAAAAACTAAAAAGGCAACTAAAAATACTTTTCGCCTGTTTTAATCAAATCCCGATCCGAGGGTGACTTTCATGGTCGTGACTCTTGAGCAGACGTGAGCTAAGCTCAATACGTTTGCCTATATGCGATAAACTTTAAACGTAAACGAAAAAGTATTGTTTTTTTAAAGCGGTTTAAAGTATATCGGGGGCAAATCGACCGTATTTTTTCCCCTCCAAATTTGCACCTGAGAAATTGACCTTTTTTTCAAATGAAAAGGCGATTTGAAACTATTCACAATTACCACAAAGTGAACATGACAGTTAGGCCGCTTCAAAAAATACCTATTTGTAAACCCATAGGACTATATTTAGGATAAAACTTTGAACGTAAACGCTTAATTTGTTTTTGTTTTTGTTTTGCGTTTTAACGGTAAACGTAATGAGGTTAGGTCGTGACTCGGACTCCTTGAGTCTTGACACTCTTATAGAGAGCGAGAATACTCTCGGGCAATGGACATCAATATGATAAATTATATGGAGTGCCTCGAACTGCGAAGCATCAAGCATAAATCTTTAAAAATAGCCTTTATATTCTATACAATTAGGGCGAAGCTTGTTTAAAAAAATAAATAAATAAACAAAAGTAAATACCTCTTGTCAAATTGTGAATATTGAGACAAAGTGTATTACTATTATGCTGGAACCTGGCCTCCCAATTCACCATATAACCTCGCTTCATTGTACTAGCGATACAACTTGATGAATTTTGTTCAAAACTCGTACATATTCATATTATTATCCAACATGTACGATACCATGAATCCGTTCAAACCATCCATGAACCGCGACCTTGCGGCTACCTACGGTAACAATCTAATGTATGTAGCTCTACCGGGTGTGTATGGACTGCTTTCTCGATACTGGATCAGCGGCATAGACCCACTACTCATCGCAACCACGGCCTCATATACATACGTTGGTGTAGTGTATGAAGTGGTAAACGAGACCATACCACGTGCGTATTATCGACCCTTCTCTGCCATGCATATCCTCGGGGAGCCCTCCGTTGGTTTCAACTCTGGTCGTATCCATGACAACGAGGCTGACATCAGTGAGTTTCGACATGATGGAAGTGTATTCGTACCCAAATGCACATCGAAGGAGCAATCCGCAAGACTAATCGAGCAACTACCGGACCGGACCACTGCTCTCATCACTCACGCTACTATGGTGGCACTCTTGACTGTATTCTTCATGATATTCGCACCAGAGTTCAGTGCAGCTACCACCGGATCGACCTCACAGGGAACCATAGAATATGTTCGGTAATCAATTGCTGCTCAAATATTGGGCGGATTCGAGATAGGTATGGCAAGTCTCTTGAAGGCTACAGGATATTCCGTCGTTTCAGCTATCAGTATCAACGGCAGAGTGTTCATGCAGTTGGTATTGGATCTGTTGTTTCTGTCCCCATGGCATCCATTAGGTGGAGATCCGACCGTATTGACCCAGGCGAGAATTACGCTAGTAGTTCAGGTAGGTGGAGGCCTAGATCTGTTGTCATTTGCCCTTTAACAATCCGGCTGAATTGTCCTGACACTTGATTCCAGTAAATATTTCACAGTTCTGGTGTGGTACCTTCATGTGACATGTTATTGTATCACCTTTCAATATCGCACATTGACTGTTGTATACATCATAGTTTCTCGTCCTAATTCTGGAATCGCTATCTGACATTCCGTGCAGATTTTCTCGCTGGCATTCATGACCGGCGTGACTGTCTGGTTCTTCGCCCAACTCAAAGAACAAATTGCCCAGTTCTACCCTGCCTACAAATCAACGACGAACTACCTCAGTCTATTCCGGCCGGTATTGCGTTTTAAGCGCCTGGTCAAACACTCCCTAGGGCCGCTCTTTGAAGTGGTACTGCGAAATGGAGTGTATTTATGGTTTGTTGTGGACATGGTACAGATGGGCCAGGAATATGCTGCAGCATGGTATGTAGATTTAAACCAAACGTGAATGGTTGATTTATCATGCCATTTTCATATGATAGGTATTGCACTATTCGTCTCGGTTTGTCGAGTAGCGATTCTTTTTGCGTGCGTGTCTCACAACGATGACAGAGAAATGCATATTTGCATTCAACACTTTGTACTTGTGGATTTAATTTATTGCTGCATCATCGAAACATGCTAGATCAGTATACACAATCCCTTATTTTAAACATGCAACAAAACCTCCATTCACTCAATTTACTATTATATTTATATATATTCCTGTCTTCCGTATATCTTCGCAAATTCCACAAGGATGTCTTCAATGCAATGCGTTGGTCCATAGTCATGATTCCAGTCTTGGCTGTGACCGATAGTAAATAATGAGTGGTACGCTTGGATTTTAGATATTCGCGTGTAGAATATTTGCTGTAGATTCGGCCGCAATCTATACTTCTCCACCTGAACCGGTGCCGCACACGCGCAGACAACATGATCAGTCTGTGAAGCCTTCCTAGCAGCCTTTGTACAACAACAATATCTAAGACACTTCTAACTCACATATTGTACCTGTAAAATTTGCAGCCGTCTCCTTCATCACGGGCCAGAGATGGGCAACAGTACTAGCGTGGTACGGTAAGAACAGCTCAACCTCCTCGCTGACTGCACTCAATGAAGTGAATGTCAACGCATCCAAGTCTGGAGATGACCTTGATGACGTCCTCTCAGGTACGTTATATGCGAATTTCATATGTGCTTTTATGTATGTGCACGCTTGAAAATGGGGCTACGCCAGCCTTAAAGTCATATATATATATACATATATATACATATATATATATATATATATAT